ACTGGATAAGGCAACCCAAAAGGAGGAAAAGATTCCCAAGAAATACAGAAATACACCCTAAACTATCAGCCAGAATGTATTTTCAGAGGACCTAGTACAGTTCCATGCAGGTTGGTGATTGCTGCTTCAGTCTCTGTGAGTCCATGTGAGCCCTGCTTAGTTGATTCAGAGGGCCATGTTCTCCTAGTGTCCTCCATCCCTCTGACTCCTGAAATATTTCCTCCCCATCTTTTGTGGGGTTTCCCAAGCTCCAACGGGGGGAACCCTATGGATACCTCCAATTAAGACTCTGCGTAATGTCTGGCTCCGGATCTCTGCCCCTGACTCCCATCTGTTGCCATAGGAAGCCTCTCTGATGACAAGTGGACAAGGGTGATATTTCTGAATGAAAAGAATAACTCACCAGCCAACCTAGTGAAGCCTTTGTCATTTTTTTCCTAGGTGTTTAAATATCCTACTCAAATGAAAGAAGTTTTAAGGCTAATTTACGCAAAAGGTCTAAGTTTTTATTAAATCAGCTGTGTGCTGTCCTTGGTATAAAATTTATCCAACTTACTGTTTTTGACAGTAACAGTAGCCAGAAAATATTCAGGGGATTTTTATTAATAAGTTGCTTTCTGGGATGAAGTAGGTTTGGAAACTGCTTCCACCTACAGTTCTCTACAGGACTCCCTGCACCTGCGGATGTCTGAAGCTAAGTCAGTCAACCTGACCCTAGTGTTTCCTACAAATTGGTCTTATCTCTGTGTAACTTCAATTAATACTTGATCCTATCTGTATTTAGCTCCTATTAATATCTCAAAGAGCTGTTTTATCAGAGAACTTGCTTTGAAGCCAGTGTTCTAATATAATCTACAATTTTGATATCTTGATGCTTCCGGTGTTCTGGTTTGGGTTTTGTTTTAGTTTGCCTTAGATTAGAGGAACAAGAGAGGAAAGGAAGAAATTGTTGGTGTTCTAAAGTTTCAGTAGCTGATGTAGGAGAGAGATAGCAGCCGTGAGATCTCTGTACAGTAGATGTGATTTAGCCAGCAGCAGGTCAGCAAACAGGCTTGTCACCGAACCCTAAGTGTGCAGGGGAAACAATACAAGAAGCTACTCTACCTGTTGGTTCACACAGCGGAGCCTTCTGTCACCGCTTTGCTCCTGGGAAAGTGGGAAAAGAGAAGCCCTTGAGTGCTCTGCACACTGACAACCAGGATGTTTAACTCCAAGGGCTACTGCATGGGGACCAATGATGTCACCTCTCTCCATCCATTGTTCTAGAAAGACACACATCATATTTCGAGGACAGCAATGATCTCTTGTCTAATGTGAGAGACTTCTCATTTTAGAAGAGTATACACGGGAAGTAGGCAGTCTTCACCAACGATGTAGGCACATTTTCCTAAGTAGAGGTGCCCATGAATTCCATGCTAGCAGAGAAGACTAAGCAGCTACATGTAAATTACTGACCCTTTGTTTCTAGATTTGAAAAGTGAACCCAGTGTGCTAACCATGTTCAGCACACTTTGTCTAGTCTGTGTCCAGAGTTACCAAAATTTCTCATCCCCAAATGTCCAGGTCAGAGAGAGAATTCATCATGACCTATGTCTCCATTTAGTACCCGATGTCCTGCCTTCTTCTATACTCACATTTCCTCCTTATTGCAAGAGGAAAAGTCTACTTGAGCCAAATGTCTTCTGCAGAATCTAAAAGTATACAATAGTTTGAATGTCAATAGCAAACTTTAAATGCAAAGATGATTTTTTGTTCAGTAACCTAAGGCAAAGCAGTGCATGCAAACATTAAAAGCCAGGTAAATTAACAGAAACCTTTCATATTTCTGGAACATCCACCCACAGGGAGGAATGCTTTGGAAGCCTAATTTAAATCACTGGTTTGTTCATTCAACGAGTCTTTATTAATACTTATTTTACACTAACAGAGTGGTGCTTGGAATTGCAAGAGTGTTGAGCACAGACAGGACCCCTGCCTAGACCACAGTCAGACTGAAAAAGAATAATAAATACATACCCTATTAGGAAGATAGGGTATGTATCTAAGGGGAGAAGAGAGAAGGAGAGAGAGAGAGAGAGAGAGAGAGAGAGACAGAGAGAGACAGAGAGAGAAAGTGAAAGACACAGCGCATAAAAGGTTTCCTATTTGCGTCTTGTCGCTGTGATAAACACCATGACCAAAAACATCTTGGTGAGAGGAGGGTTTATTTTGTCTTACACCTCCAGGTTTATACTGTGGGAGGTCAGGGCTGAAACAAAAGGTTAGAACTTTTAGGCAGGAAGGAAAGCCAAGCCTTGAGGAATGCTGTTTACTGGCTTGCCTCATCTGGGATGTTACTTTTCTTTTACAGCCCTGGACCACAGTAGGTGTGGCCCTCCTATATCAATTAGCAGTTAAGAAAATGTTCTTTAGAATATCAATCAATCAATCAATCAATCAATCAATCAATCAATAAGAACACTATTTCCCACAACTTCTCCTTTTATATGGCTTCAGCATAAAAAGGAATTTATTTAAAGCACCATGGATATAGGTTTCATTGGATAAATTCATATACCCTCATTTTCCTTCAGACTCAGGGGACTCATTCAGCTTCCACATTCCCATCCCCATGTGGACCCCCATCCCACTACATATAACCCTTTCCAGCTCACTGCAGCACTTCAGAAGTAGCCTCCTCCCCTCCGCTCCTCTTCTTCCTTAGACTTCCTTCTTTCTGTAGACCTTATGTCAACAATGATAGTGGCTGACTTCATCAGTCTCTGCCTAGTCTTGAAGGTTGGAACCAGTTGTAAGAATGAATTTTCATCTGCAGCTGAAATGAAGAGTATTGGAGGCTGAGACAGGGGTGAGTTTCTCCGTCTGTATTCATAGGTTGTGTTGATATCCTGGCATTATGCTGACCCTTCCCCCTAAAATGGGGGGAAGTACCAGCAGATACTAAAAAGCTCAAAGGGCCCTGTGTTGTGTGGCTATTGCACTAGGTGGCTATGTAAGGACTCTGTACATATGTGCAAGCTTTCCCTTTTAAGCAAATGCCTCCCACCTGCTTGTTCTCTTTCTTTCCATTTCCATTCCCAGTCGAGTAACACCCTACCCTTCCCTTCACTCCCTTTCCCAGTAAACTCAACTTGGTTTTTGTTGAGTCTTGTGGTTTGTATTTCATCGCCCCATAGCTGCAGCAAACAATAGGTTGAGTCTTAGAAGTTGGTACAGTCAGAGACTAAGGCCCCTGTTTGAGGAAGAAGCCATGGGCACTGGATTCTCCAATTCACCTTGAAGTTGGTCCTTATCTCCAAGAGCTTCTGGGAGCTGGGCTCCTGGCCAGTCTGAGATACCCCGAGCACCACATTAGAGGTAGGTGGGCTCTGAAGTCTTCTTTTACTCCTTTCTCTGATGAGCCAATGAATCTGAATGTCCAGAGAGCTCACCTATTCTGTAGAAGCAAGTTCGTCCTGATGGGCTCTATATTCATGTATGTAAGAAAAGGTGCAAAATGAGACTTCTCAAGGGGAGCTGTGGTCACACTTGGAGGGGGAAGAGAAACATCCCAATTAGGTTAGCTGTGTAACCACTGTGGTGTTTTAGAACCTGGAACATAGTTGTCAAATTGAGTTTCTGTCAGTTTCCAGCTGCTGGGGTGAAGTTCTTGTCACCTTCACACTCAGGCTCCTGCTGGAATCTTCCATTGCTGGCATCATCCTGGAAGTAGTCTGATCTCCTGTTGCATCAGGCTGCCTGTTTCTACACCCTGATTGTGCTCCACTGACTGTTAATGTGAGATTTTTTTTCCTAGCTGGAGATTCTGCTTCCTTTTCGTCTACTGCTTCGCTAACAGCTAGGGGTCAATCACTCTGTTGTGGCAATGAGCTGTGGTCCTGTAGGGGACAGTAAGCCATGCCTGTTAGAGGCTGGCTACAGGTGTGCCTGACCAGGCCTGTCAAGGTGTGCCTGACCAGGCCTGTCAAGGCGTGGTCAAGGTGAGGTCAGGATGACTCGGGATGGGCTCTTAAGGGGCTGCAAGCACATGGGAGACCCCTTCTCTCTGGCCTCTCTGCCTTGCTGCTCCTGGCACACTCTGGCTTGCGTTTGGCTGGTGTTTTTCTGAATAAAGATATCTTAACCTTACCGACTACGGATCGTCTTCGCTCTTATAATGTGGTTCATCTCTGGCTCTTGGTGCCTCAGGCCTTCTTAGGTCCTTCGTACCCGTACTTACTGTCTGTTACTCTGAAAGTGTGTTTATGGTCTCTGCTGCGTCCCTTCATACTCAGATGTTTCTGTGTTACTGAGATGTGCACCAGTCAGAGCTAGGATTTCTCACAGCTGGCTATGGACATTCATGGAGTGAATTCATTAAATAACCATGGAAAAAAGACAAGATCTACTTTAGAACAAGTTATATCCACAGCTGAGGCCAGAGAGGAAAGCAGGCTAGAGAAGAAAACAGGAAGAGAGCAATTGGATGGAAGAATCAAGAACAGAAGACCAAGGTTGGATAAGGGTGTGGCTGAGCCAACTTCAGTCATAAATTTGTGACAGGTCTGAGTTCCAGGGAAACTATCTTCCACATGAAAGTTCCATGTGGCCTTTGTTTCTTTCCTGCCTGGCTTTACAGGGTAACAGCCCATGTGTATGACTTACACTCTGCTTGGCAGATAAGTTTCTTCAGCCCAGTGATTGTTACTGCTTAAAACCCATAGGGAAGCCAGGTGGTGGTGGTGCAAGCCTTTAATCCCAGCACTTGGGAGGCAGAGGCAGGTGGATCTCCATGAGTTTGAGGCCAGCCTGATCCACAGAGAGAGTTCCAGGACAGGCTCCAAAGGTACACAGAGAAACCCTGTCTGAAAAAACAAGACAGACAAACAAAAAACAAAACCAACCAAACAAAAAGAACCACAAGGAAATGCCTTGTGAAATGGTAGAGTTTTCTGAATTTACTGGGTTCTGGGTGTTTCATTTACTTCCTCAGCCTGGTCAACGTCATTATTCCCTTCCAGGATCTTAGAAGTCTTTCTTCTCTCTCTACGATGAAAAGTTTGAATGAGATATAGAAAACACAACAGTGGAAGACATTGCTGCTTGCAAAACAAAAGGATGGGTAAGTCTAGGTTCTATTATGAGGTATTGGGAAAATAAATAGTACAACCCATCTGTTTTATAGTTTCATGTAAACCTGCATACTTGATTTGCAAAGCATAGGTCATTAAAACTTGTCAATTAAAAAAAAAAGGCAGTGCCATGTAAGCCTGAAATTTGGGGCTAAATTATGCATTTGGGACTGAGCAAATATATGCTTAGAGTAATTCCTCATTAAGACAACTCCAGTGAGAATGTTCTAGTGGGTGCAATTAAAATCAAGTAGTAGATTTTTGTCATCAGGCTAGCTCATTAGACTCAGAAGGCTTTGTTTCCACCTAAGTAGCTTGCAGCTACTGTTAATAAAGCCTGGGAATATTGGCACACTCAAGTCTCCCTCCATGCAGGTATGGCTAGTGTGCCTTTTTGGAAGGCTCTTATTTTATGGTTTACTACAATGAGAGTGAGTACTTCATACAGTGTTCAAATGTGATAGAATGATCAGGTCTCAAGGGTGTAGAGAACGTTATCTCAGGAGAGGCAGTGGGCGTCTAGCTTCCTAGGGTTGCCTCAGGAAAACTGTTTCATTTTCCATCAGAAGTGCTGCAACCTGCTAGTTCGGTAATTGTAGCTACTCCCATTGACCTGCATGGGAGGAGGCTTTTGAAAGGAAGGTTGAATTAGAAAAAGAGAAAGAAATGGCTCTGTAATGGATTAAATCGAGGTGTTGGGAGAAAATGTGTGCTATTTTTACTTGCATTGTATTTGTGTTTCATGGCTCTATCTTTGCCCAGAGTCAATATTGCATTTCAGTGTCTTAATGAGAGGTTGGCTTTTAAAGCTCAAGTGCATTGAACTCACCATGCTTCCATTCAGCTCTGCTGGAGCCTCTGTATTGCCTCATCTCCTGGTCCCTGGGATTGTTTAGAGGATAGAACATTAGGGCAAATTAGGGCACTTGGCTTGGTGAAACTCAGCCCCCTAAGAAGAATGGATTTTGTTTACGGAATGTGCATGCTGTGTTGCTAAACTACTGTGATTGCACCTGCCCATACCCTTCTCCTTTTCCTGAGAGGAGATAATGTGTACCTGTACTAAATAGCCCAGAATCAATGTGCATGAAGTAAAGAGAGCAGAGCAAGCAGGTGAATTGCCTGAAGGCTGGGGCTCAATAGAAATGCTCTATGAAGGTGTGTGTTTGTGTATCTGTTTTTGTTTGTTCTGCAGATTCTAAACGCCTGGCATTTTTACACTGAGATAACTTAAGTCCTTTGTATACCTCAGGGCTTCCTGAAAAAAAAAATAACTAGAGGAGAAAAGATATGAACTGTATAACAAAGGAATGGGGACACGAAATGATCTCAGGAACTACACAGCACAGAATGTTCTAGAATCAAAAGCCTCATTTATAAAGATAGGACAAATCATTTTAAGGTATGCCCAATTTTATTTTTCACTCTCTGTGTTTTCCTATTGTGAAAGCTTGTGTGTGAAACTTACAATACACATACACAGGATTTACAAAAACATGACAAGTTGGCCTGCTTTGATTGTCTGTAGAAACCTAGATTTGAAATAAGGGCACTTACCTAATCTAGAAATTCAGTAAAGTTGATGCACAATCAAGTTATCTTTATACACATTAAGCCTACAACAGAATATAAACCAAGGTCTATTTCAAGATTGGAGAATTAATTGAGTTCTCTAATATGACTTGGGGGCACAGAACATCTACTGCTAACATTGGATGTCAGGAATGGTTGAATTCACTTCAGTGTTGGCTCCCTGAATTCAGAGTTGTGATATCTGTTCATCTGTGTTGCTTTATCTTCAAGATTGATATTAAATATTTCAGATTCTTGGTTAGCACTGTTTGAATGAATGTCTGCTCCCTGTCCAACACCTCTGCGATTCCAGTCAAAGTAGTTGTCACAATAGACACTAAGGCACGGAAACTTTGTTTGCTGGGTTTCTCAATAGCACACACATGCTTGGAAAACTGGATAGCTAAACACAGGAGCTCTGGAGATTGCCTGAGATGGCCCTTTCCCCTACACCATAACTTGTTTATCTGTGGGAAACCTACATACGATTGAACGCATTGGAAAATATTGATGTGTTAACCCCACAAGGAACTAGAAGAGAGACCAAATTTCCACAAGTCCACCAAGAACTCAGAGCTGGTTGTCAACGCAACAATCTCTGGTACAGCCTCCAGAAATTCTCTTAATCTTTATGGCACTCATCTCAGATATGCCCAGGTTCTATCTGACTTCTCCTCCTGTTTTTGTGCTATATTTTTCAGTGAGTTGAAATCTTCATGATGTCCACTCCATGTGCTAACGATGTCCAAGTCTCTCTCCTTGTCTCTCCCTCTATCCCTGTCTTTCTGCCTCTCTGTCTCCCTCTTCCTTTGGTTATAAAAACCTGTCTCTTCTCCCACATCAGAGTAAGTCATTTGCTTAAACTTTTATATACACTGAATGAATACTTCCATTTTATACCCACATATCACTTGAATCATTGAAAAAGAAAAAAGGATATAGTTTAAAATAAAGCAGAGAACATCAGCCTTTTTCCTACCCTTCAGCCTTTAGTTGCCGTCCAGAGTCCATGCCTTACTAGTTAAACTTTTCCATTTGCATCCATCAATTTTAGTCACTATCCACTGACTGGTAGATTTGACAAATGAAGAATTAGCTTTATGGAAGATCCCTTTTATCTTTCCTGTCTCCTAAGCCTCATGCAACTACCATTAATTAACTCGTAGTTGCATCATTTTGACTGTATAGGGTTTACATACTATGTTCACATATTTGACTATACAAATATCATAAAAACAGCAACAGTATTCTATAATAATATTCTTTCACAATTTATGATTTGTTTTTTTTCCAAATCTTTGGCTGTTCCTCAGCATTTCAAGGAGATTTCATTGTCTCCTCCAAGAATCTGTTTGAGTTGTTCATATCCTTAAGAAAAAAGAAATTGCCTGATGTTACAGTGTGTGTGTGTGTGTGTGTGTGTGTGTGTG